TTTCAAGAAGTTGTGTACTTCTTGTGGCTCATTTCTTACTGTGTTTAGTTTGCTTACCCTTAACGCAATCTATACACTCTACACAATTGGTAAAATCAAGATTCGGAATGACTCCATCTTTTACCACTCTCTTAATTCTTTCACTGGAAATGTGTCCGAGTCTTTTATGCCACAAGAAATAAGTCTTTTGCACATGATTTGCTTTTAAGACCACTTTTAGCATGCAGGATGAGAGGTATGTTATAATTTTGATCAGCCAAATTTAACATGTAAAGGCCATCAATTAATATTCCTAAACCGATTCGATTAGAGTTTGAAAACAAATTAAAACATCCATCTCCTTGAGTTGAATTAAAACCAGCAATATCAAGTTTGCTTAATGAAACTAAATTACGGGAAATAGATGGAACATAAAGAGTTTGAAACAAATCCAAACAAAATCCACTATCTAAAACTGGTGCTTTGTCTCGATTTCCCATCAATAAGTAGTTTTCACTTGGCTTTATGGTTTGGGTCATAAGGAATCCCTGCAAGGAATTGGATACATGCACATTAGCACAGCTATCTATCCACCAAGTTTTAGAAGAAACATTAGTAAGATTTGATTCGAAAAAGCTTACAAAACCCATAAGGTTACCTTTCTTTTCGAACCATTCTTTTCTTTTAGTGCATTCTTTCTTAAAGTGACCAACCTTTTTACAAAAGTTACATCTATCATCTTTTTTTGCCTTTTTCTTCTCATGAGCTTGGTTTGAGCTATTCGTTTGGGATGATGCTCTTTTGCGGTTACCTTGATGCTTGTTCCCAACTTTAGATCCAACTTCTTGGATATAATGAGCAACTTTAATGCCTTCTCGACCAAGTCTAGCCTCCTCTTGTACCAATTTATTAGCCAATTCATTTGATGTCCATCTTTCATCAATGGCATTATAATTAATTTGGAATGGTCCATACTGAGGAAGCAAAGAATTTCGGATAAATTGGACAAGAAATGAATCGTCCACACTCATTCCTAAATTCTTCAGCTTAGCCGCAAGGTTGATCAGATCAATGCAATGTTTATGCATAGACCTTGTGCCATCATACTTTATGGTTGTAAGATCTGCCATAAGTTTCCCAGCAAGGGATTTGTCTGCAGGCTTAAATCATTCTTCTATTGCTTCTAGATAAGCTTTCGCTTTATCTACAGTTGGAAGGGAAGATTTGATGTTGCTAGCTATTGTCATCCTAAAGAACATGATGCTTAATATGTTCTCCTTT